AAAATTAAAGTCCGCGGCTTCAGTTTCTCACCGTACTTTGAACGTTAGGCACCCCGCCGACGGACGACCGCGTGTTCGGCGACTACCCCGTGGTGGCGGTGACGCAGCCCGAGAGCGGACGGCGGGTGCTCGTCGTGCAGGCCATGGCGGCCTCCAAGTACCTGGGCCACATCATGGTCACGTTCGACCGGGACGGCGAGGTGGTGGGCTGGGAGGGCCGGCCGCTGCTGCTGGACCAGTCGGTGCCCGAGGGTGAGTAGTGCGCGCGCTCGGCCTCGCGTGACGTATGAGCGAGAGTTGTTTGACTTACATTAACTCCTCGACCCCCCCCCCCTCCCCCAGACGCGCGCACCCTCACGATGCTCGGCTTCTGGAGGCCCGCCGTCATGCTGCGTGGCCGGCGCCGCGTCGGCCACCTGGACGAGCGGCTCTCGCAGGACGACTTCGAGTGCCTCACGGGCGAGTGCAGCATCGGCAACGTCGTGGCCGACGCTTTTGTTGACGTGAGTAGTACCCCTCCCGGTGTGCCGCCAGCGCCAGCATAGCTTCCCCGCAGCCAGCTAGCATGACGCACTTCTTGTTGATGATTGCAGCACTGGCGCAAGACCGCGTCGCCGCCGGCTACCGTGGGCGCCGCCGTGGGCTGGTCCATGGTCGCCAACCTGGAGAAGGGGGGTAAGCGTCAACAAGAACAGAAGCAGACGTATCAGGGGGCACGCCACGCCGTGATCCGGGAAACGCCCTCCAACCATCGTGCGGCCTCACCTCATTCTGTTCCCTGTTTCAGACGTGACCTTCGAGGACGTGTTCAACGTGCTGCCCTACGAGTACACGACGGACCTGTTCCGCGTGTCTGGCGCCGGGCTGCTCGAGGTGCTCGAGTCGTCGGCCGCGGGCGAGGGCCTGTTCCAGTGGTCGGGGCTCGACGTCACCCTGGACCTGTCTCGGCCGCCGGGGCAGCGCGTGGTGCGCGCGCGCGTGCGCACCGACCTGGAGCAGCGCCGCGGCGAGTACCCCGACCTGGACCCCGCCGCCGAGTACGTCGTGACGGCGCAGTCCGTGGCGCTGAGCGGCGGCTACGCCAACCCCCAGCTCAGGAGCAACCACCACAACAGGACGAAGGGTACGAGGAGGAGCATACGGTCTTGTCTTCTCCGACGACTCAAACAGAAAAATATTTTGTCTGTTGTTGTTGTTGTTCTAGAATTTTTCTGGAATTTTTGCGAATAATAATCCTGTGTTTTACACCGCAGGGCCGCCGGACCACGAGGTGCTCGCCACGTATCTCAGCGAGCACATGAACCTGGCGCAGGAAAAGCTGGAGGGCAGGGTGACCATGGTGGGCGGGCGCGCGCACCCGCACCGCTTCTCGGGCCTCAGCAACAGCGTCAAGCGCTAGCCCTGCCCCCCTCGTGCGACACGAGAACGCCTAGCTGAAAATGATATGCCAAAGAAACTGTGTGTCCGTTTATGTTGATGGGCAGTTTCAGCGAGTACGTCACGCCGTCGCGTGTTCACTAAAAACTGTAAACAAAAAACTGCTGGATTTTTTTTTTATTTTTTTTTTTTTTTGGAGGAGGCTTCTGAGCGTGGACATTTCCTGGAATTGCCCCCTAATAACGGCCCACATATACAAATGTAATTGTAATTAATATTATTATAATAGTACTAAAATTAATAAAGGCAACAGGAACAATACGTCGTCTACGTGGTGTTCTACTTCAAGTCCCCTGTTTATGCGTCGATGTTCAAAGTGCACCAAGTAGCCTATGGTCTCTTGGCCTTGGCCCCTTCAATGGCATTTGCGGCGAGTAATAAAGTAAAGCTATATTAATAAGAGGATGATCTATTTTTATTTATTTTTTTGCCTATCCGATCATAAATTTGAGAGGTATGGAAAGTGGAAAATACGCCGCCACGAAAGTCCACGTTAACCACCGCCGTGGACGCTCTCACCGAAATAAATTTTTACACTTCACTGGTTTTCTTGTTCTTCTTAGGGATCGCCATCGTCTAGAAAGTACATCCGTTTCTCAAATTCATTCGATCGTTTAGCAAAAATCACGAGAGGTCGGCGCCTGCGAGGTTCAGGGTAGGCCAGCCCGCAGTACATGCATGCACAACAAGGCAATGTGTTGCCTACCCATCAGGCGCTAAGAGACCTTGTTGAGCTTGCTCTGATCTTGGCAATTTTGGGGTGTATTTACATTGTCTGACCTGTTTTTGTAAATGACCTGAAGTAACACCCTTGTAACGGTCAAGGCTCATTTGCACTTGTTTCTGGCCGTTGTTTTAGACTGTTTCCGGTGCTGAGTTCCTTAATTCTTCCTTTCAACGGGGCCGTCCGGAACCGACTATTAGCTCGCCAGGTGGTGTAGGTCACACTCCCACCGACGTCATGAGGTGCGGTGGAAGAGGAAGAGGGTCAGCAACAGTCCACCATTGTAGAGCGCAATTTGTCTCCGTGCACTATTTATTTTTCAACAACGCGCATCTCGGCCTCGACCTTCCATGATCGGCTTTACCCCCCCCCCCTTCCCCCCTTACTCCTCTTCCTGGACGAAGGCGAGAAGGATAAAAAATAAAATCCACAACCACGGCATTAAGAAGAAGAAGGATGAGACGTGTCCGATCGAAACTGCACCATGATGACGAGATACGTGACTGATAGGGAGACGATCTGTGTAGGACACGAAGGGCGCGACCAGTAAGTTCCCGCTCAAATGTTATTGCATGAGGAGAAGGACTGACGGGACTGACGGCTGAAACCAAATACTCACGGAGCCGAAGAGAGGTCGGTCGATGCTGGTGAACCCGCTCAGCGACAAGAGAGCTGGCCGGTAACTCACAGACTTGTAGAAGAGCGTCACCTGCAACGGCAGTAAAAGTAAGAGCATCCGCCTAGTTTGAGTTAATGCACGCTCCAAGTCCAAAGCAGTCATGCTTTTGAGCGATAATACGACTTACCGCTCGGTAGAAACGCTGGTCATGCGCGTCCAGCGACAGCTTATCCAGGGCAGACACCACAGGGCCGTGCATCTGTCGCATGCATAAGAGAACAGTGCAAATATGTTGAAAATCGTATGCGAGTGGTTGTGGGTCTTGTAACGTACCGCAGTCACCGCCTCGTGCGCCCTATCGCTCAGCTCGAACAGCTCCAATGCCAGCAATAGTATCCACATGACTTGCGCGACACCCGCCTTCGACACCCCAAGAGACCTAAGAGGGGCGAACAAACATGAAAAACAACATCGAAGCCATTTGCAGGAGAACAGGCTGAAGGAAGTACACTCACAGTAGTGCGAAGCACAAGTAGACGGAGAACAGCATCATCATGAAGAGGTGCGATAGGTAGAACACGTCCAGAAGGTAAAAGCTGGGGTGGTCGTTGTAGAGCGCGCGCAGACCGACCCAGAGCTTTTGGGCACGGCGCACCCCCTCAGTGTCGCCCGGGCGCATCTGGGTCAGGTGGAGCCAAAACGCTTCGGTTGAGGAGGGTTAGAATGCATTCGGGAGCCGAGCCACTTCTCCCCCGAATCAAACGCGAGACTTTCATCGTGTACCCTACACACTAAATGGCGAGGGACAATTTTTGAAAGTAGGCTAGACGTGTCTTTGAGCACAGAAACCAGATACAAATTCGTATCTTCGTCAGCATACAAAATACAGCATTTGTAACCTAGCCAAGGTACAATTTGTACCTCCGTAGACAAAGTTGTATCTGATATGAAGATGTGTTCAAAGACACATCTTAGCTGGGTACAAAAATTGTCCCTCCCCATTTAGAGTGCAGCAGTTCACTCACCTGGTTTAGGTGCTCGCTGAGAGCGGTGGCTGCCTCGCGCAGCTGTAGGAAGTACAGGGTGTGGAACAGGAAGATCAGCGTGGACGATATAGTGGCTGAGTAGGCAGCGGGGAGGTAGTACCATGCATTTACAGACAGGTCCAAGTCATATGCGTTGAGATCGCCAGAGATAAACTTGGTCTGCTAGAAAAATGATTCCATGTACCATGAACCATCATGGGACTTTGCACATTTGTTAAAGAACTGCAAATGTAGATACTTTGCACGAACAACTTTCTAGCCAACCTCTTTTTTTTTTGAAGCAATCATTCCAACGATGATTAACAGGAGAGGGACCACGAATAAAACGAACACGAAACCGCGCAAGAATCGAACTCGGGAAGACCAGCGGTCCCGAAGATGTTGGTTAGTAACAGATAAGAAGGCTTCCTTCAAATAAAATCATTTTTATTTTACAT